GTAACGTTTGACTCAAATTAGGCGATATTGCAGGATATTGTCCTTCACGAAATAAGTGTAATGTGGATTTGTGTGAGGTATACATACGAGTGTGCAGCTTGATAGTCAACTGTTTGAAAAGAGTCTCTTCGCTGAATCGCTTATTTTGATCTTCTAAATATGCAGATGGAAACTTCCAAACGAGACGTCTACTTCACAATGCAGATAATTTCTGTTGGTGAAAATATATTACCTCGTCATTCTGTTGTTAGTGTTTTACGCCTTGAAATTACAGAAATCTGGAGGCTAGTGAAAGTGGAACTGGCGTCACTGGTACCAGCAATTTGACCTACCACCTTGCTAACGCAATGCTACGACTACAATCAATATCGCCAAAAACTATGATCCCTAGTGCTGAGGCGTCTATATCAAGTTACGTGTCAGCCCACCCAGTAACACCATGTCCAAATAAATCAAATTCCAATTTTTCGATATATTACAATCATTGATAAGGCTAATTAACTTTGCCGACACTCTTGATACGATAAAAAATAATTTGACTGGTCTCAATTATAGTGTTATCAATTAGAAATCATCCTAAGAATGGCAATAAAACATTGAATTATATAGACCATCATGTCAAGTTGGAGTTTATCAACGTCGATAGGTATACAAATGACTCAGACAGAGAACACCGAACCCATTTGACCGATCAGAACAACTTAAATATTTAAACAACAAAATTGTATTTAGAAGACAGGCAGTGAGCGTTATTATGAAAATGAGTTAATTATTTAAAAAGTGTTCAGGAAATCCAATGCACACCAATGTGCAGAATACACGTTTCCCATGGTAGGGGAAGTAACAGATTCAAATTGTTCTCTAGTTGCTTCCTCCTCCATCTACAGACAAAATGAAAAAGGGTGAGCATTATTGATTTCATGCCAATGCAAACAACGCTGAATGTTATGAGTATTGGAAGAGACATGAAGGAATCGACCAGTTGTGAATATCAGTGTGTACTATTTGACCTGAAAAACACAAAACACCTACTGTGTGCATCCTTCCACACCCAGGATGATAGAGAGTTAGAGACTCCAGTCATCCTGCGCCACTCATTATACTTCAGATATCCCGAATGCAGTTATTCGCACTTATGTATGTGTAGGTGTCGTTGTTCGTGTGGTTGTGGAACAGGGTGCATTGGGAAAGTGTAACATAATTCAAATCGAATTGACCACAAATGGTGTTCAACTGAGAAGAAGTTGTCGGTTAACTGTCAGATCTGTGATACACTGCCTGATCCTCTTCAAAATACTAGACATGATTTCCTATGATATGGATAGATTGATGGTCCATCGACCCTCGTGTTCGACATGCAAATTATCCTGTATTCAATTATGCATATTTCTATATGTAAAGACAGGATGACAGTATCTCTCATCAGTCAATTTTGGAAGATAAAATGTGGAAAGTTCATACGAGATAGTAGGTAAATCTTACGTTTCAACCTCTTGATGGCAGTTTCATGAATTTTCTTCATCACTTGAAAGTAAAAGAGCGATATAAAGGTGGCGGATTAGTGGATTGAAAGCTAACGCTGTTCGTCATTGTATAACTTGCTTCTCCTACAATTGATGAAATCTGATCGATAGGAATAAAATGCATTGAATAAGTTCGTTTGTCTACAAAATGTTTGATGTAAGACACATCACGCTCAGTCAGTCAGCACTTCTTGTAGGCCACTGGTATATAGTGGCGAGTGGCAGTTATTCCAAAATCTGCGTTGTGACGAGTATTCACTGTCGTTGTCATTGTTGGTTTTTTTGATTTTTACAAATGTAGTGATCAGTCGTCCTAACAGGTATAAACATAGAGGTGAACACTTCAAGCAGTTTCTCCTCAACTAATTTCTTTTCATCACTGTCTCCCACATTTACTGTATTGTCATGGAAACAGTCATACTGATCCAGTTGCTTCTTTACATTTTCACAGTAGTAGTTATGTGTGTCGATGATTCAGCCCCTGTGTAACTAAACTGATGCCTTCGAGCGTTTTGACGATTCGTATCTGAAAAGTGATCCCAGAGTGGACGTTTCAGATTATCCTAAGTTTCTGTAATCGGTTGACATCCTTCAGTGAATAGACCTATATACAACCAAACGTTGTGTACCGACTACTAATTGATGGACAGTTTTCCGGAAACCTCGACATTTCAAGATGAATATATGCTATTGATTTCAGTTGTAAATACAAAACCGTTGTCGAGCGAGGAATGCTCGCGTAATCTCCAAGAGGTATGCGCATAATACGATCGCTGATTACACAGAATACCAAGTTATCGTTTGTAATTTGTTGTTGTGAATAGATGTTGACGAATATATGGAGTGAATAAAACCCATAAAGGAGACAGAGTGAACTTACAAATGGTTTTACCATAGAGGTATTTCTGGTAATACGAGTCCATTATTATATGCTTCAATGTATCATATTCGTCGTAATACTTCAAATTCTCCGGATCTGAAATTTATAAAATAATGCCTGCATTTAACGACTGAATGTCACAGAATCAAATGGTGAGAGAAAACTGTGAAACTATTGGAGGGATGGTTTATTGTGCTGTTGCTTAAGCAGACGACTAACTCGTCTACGTGTTTATTCAATTGAAGGTCGAGCATTGAACGTGTTTGAAGACAGTCAAAACACCTTCGACAATTCCCTACACCTACCTGCCTGTTATTTCTCGTCATGTGGTGAAATCGCAAAACTTCGACTTCATCAAAATTGGAGCAACGACAGATCATTGCCATTGAGGAGGAGAGTTTTAATTACATTAACTGCAGTTTCGACTGCATCGGATAGATTCACCGATTTCAGACTTCAAATCATTGCCCTTCACAGATGTAATGTGTGACAGGGAACCAGAAAGGAATGCAATAAGATTTCACACTTCATATTGCAGCCTGCGTATTTATAGTTCAACTTCCAATTCACTGACAACACTATCAGATCGAAAAGTAGGTGTATTCTGTCAAGCGAACTTCTATGAGAATACATTTGAATTTCGAAAATTAAGACTGTGAAATTCATAAATTTATTTTGAACATCTTCCGATGCAGTAATCTTACATAATTTATTTCAACTAAAAGTTTTCAATATTGGATTACCTTCTTCCTCTATTGACGGTTTATAACTGTCACAGTCAAATGTTTGGGACAATTTGAACTTGGCTGATGAAGAAATAGAAGGAAAGAACAGGACATTGAAACAATGAGAAGTTAAACATTCATTGATTTTGTCATTATTATCAAATACTCATGCAAATACAGACGTATCCAAAAGCTAAACTTCACGCAAATCAATATGAAATGAATCATCTTGAGTAAGATATAGCCACTCCCAACTGTTTCCTTTGTACCTGAAATGATCAGGAGTGTTCGAAATTGAAACTGACGCCAACGTAACAGATAACTTTAGGTAGGAATGTTTATTGGATAAGTGGGAAAAGGGAATACAAAGCTAAACTGTTTACCTTCGTAAGCAGTATTTTCTTCCTGGACACACTCTACAAGAGCATATTCCTCTGTGTAGGGACCTGTACGTAAATGTATTTCAAACAAGATATCAACTCATGTTCATTATCTGTGAAAATTAGTGTTAGATAAATGTGTGACTTTAACTTTTGAATGGTGAGTGATTCAGAGGCACTTTTCGGATAATTCTGGTTTCACATTGTGCAGTGACACACTGATGAATGTTTTGCATAAAGTGGCCAGTGAAATATATGATCGGAAATTTTGATGAGCATCATGTGTTGTGGAAGAATGACTGCTGGCAGTGGGTAGTAATAATTCCGATTGATTGTTGAAGTAGTAATGAAGGAAGTATTTTGGATGGAGTGGTCTGGGAGAGTATGGAAAGATGGTACAATGGATGTAAAGTATAGGGTGAGCATCATTCAATTCGATTATGAACTGACTACATGATGACCAAAGAAAACTTCAACGCTTGGATGCAGTATATATATGTGTTTATATACTGAATGCAGACAAAGTGATAACAACCACACATGAAGTCAGTTAACACAAATTCAATTTACCATACTCCTCAGGCTGATACATAATTCCATTCTTGACATCTGGAAAGACAGAAAATGATAACTGACATTAAGAGATTATGCAAAAGAATAATTGTTAAAACAGAATTATCCACTGAAATGGTTCTGGATATACTTCACAATTGGATAATTTCATGGTATAATTAAGCATGATTTATCAATCTCTTCTATCGGTTACCACAATGCAATTGCACTGACCAGCTTACAACATCCAATTCTGGTGAGATTTATTACTACCAATTACTTCTAAAGACCCAAATGATCCTCTTCAAACAGCGATCTCCAGTTAGGCTGTTTTCACTCAACTTTGAAATGACTATGTTCATCGATTGAATAAATTCTGCTTTTCATCGGAATGGCTAGTTGACGTCATTTGCTCACGGCTCAAAATCTGTGCCTAAGTGCTTTTAATTGATGCATGACTTTCGTGCGTGTAGTGCATGGTTTCAAATTCAGTGGGACAGGGTATGTACTTTTATTCGCGTTGCAGATTGAAGGATGTGGAGAACATCTCCAGGAGAGTAGAAGTGAAAGTCCCTGAACATGTATCCTCCCCATCCAACAACTTCAATGCATCACACACCTCTCAACACTGAATCAGTGAGTAATGTCATTATGCAGGTGTTTCAAGTCTGACAGTGTAGTTGCTTCGTTGTAGGATCTCCCAGAAACGCTCTGGCTGTGAATTCGCCATCTCAACTCAAACGTGGAATATTTTATACTACAACAAAAACCCAAACTCATATGATAACCACGTGAATGAAAGTAGTATATACGGTTGACATAAATCATGCAACACACTTATGAATACTCCTGCTCCCAGCTCGTTTTCGTAATATTGTCTCCAACAGTCGACATCTGAAAGAGTTTGTTAGTCATCAAAATTCAAATAAAATTCACTCACAGTTATCAACGTTGTCGTTGACGGTTCCCGCAGTTTCATTGTAAATCTTATCTAGTAAAAGAGAGAAGTAGGTAGATCGATTGCATGAAACCGGACACATCTATGCAATTCAACATTTACTATGTAGAAAATAGCGAGCAAATTTGCTATTGTTGGAGCACGCCAACGCCGTATTGTATTCACTTTACAACAGAGTGAATGTCATGAACATGACAGTGTGAAATGTTTTCGATCGGAGTGAATATGAATAAATGTGAAGTGAATTAAGAAATCAGGTAGACGCGTGTTGATGAGTTCATCACTTTTCGTGTTAGACTGATATAATATCCTCATGTATACTGCCTGTATGTTTGCAAAATCTTAAAAGTAAAAGAATTTCTATCAAATAGACTATGGTCAGAGACTCCTGAAGAATATAACAAATACCTCATGCGAACACGAGATACAGAAGTCGAGTAGATCATGTCCAATTATAATTCAGTTGGAATAATTGTTTACCTCGTAGTCGTTTAACCTCTGCTTCTTTATCAATGATCGACTGAGCTAATCCGGGTAATTCATCTGTGAGGAAGAAAGAAAAAAATATTTTGAATAAATTACAAGAGATGGATGTTTAGACGCAACAGTATATCACGAAGCATCGAAGAGCAGTACCCGCACAAAAGCTTGTGTAGGATAACATAAGAAAAATTATAAACCCATATAAAGTCAATTGTCTTACCTTTAGACTTCGAGAGCAATTTTTCAATGTCTTCTAACTTAGTCGATTCGCCTTGAAAATTGACAAAGGGAAGAGAGAGCAGCGATTGTTATAAAAGCCAAAACTTCAATAACACGTAAATAGGATGCAAGAATTTGTTCATTTCAAACGACTTGTTAGCCATGTCAGTATTTCGTGTATTTCTTTGGATGTTTAAAACACGTCAGTGAGCAGAACACCAGTTGGACTATTCAACTTCATTGAAAGCATACAATGAAATATTTATTCCACTCACGCTCTGATTCAGAAACGGAGAGAATTATTATTCATCATTGAAGGAAAGTGATTTGTCAAAGCGATGGTGAAACTGGTGTTGGAGACACAATCAGTTTCCGTTCAGAAATATGATCACGGAATAGTCTTACATAATAGTGATAGGATGGACCAGTAATATTCATCATAATGTAAAACAGGTTAATTTGAGAATATTGAGTCATTTTAATATATACTTACCTTCGTATGCAGCGGCAAATACCAGCAGCGTTATCGCAGATATGTAACTGAACTTTGAGCTGAACATATTCTCTTCTTCTTCTTCCTGTGTTTTCTCTGGCTTAACTCTTCAACTTTTATACTGTTCCTGGTGGTGAGTTGTAGTGTTGTAATGCGTTTGTCAGTAGATAAACATACTACTGCTTAGTTGTTTTTCATTTGTTAAAATTGGTCAGTGTGTTGATCAGCTGTCGATGGTTGACTGACCGGGTTGGTGCGTGAGGGAATGAGTGAGTGGGTTGGTGGGTAGGTGAATTTTCAGCACCATCACCATATACTTGTTTTGACGCTAGAATGAATATTCCCCCTGTACAACAAGTCAGTCTTATTGCACAATTCCTGCTTGATGTTTACGAAGCTCTAGGGTAAGTGTAATGTTTATCCATCTGGTTAATAAAAGACAATTCAGCGAAGAAAAATTTCTTTACAAATGAAATCATCTTCAGAGGCTGTACAGTCGTATGTACATTTATCGAAAATGTCTAGTAGTTCATTATTGAGTGACACAATTGATAAAATTACTTAGAAGTGGCTTCAAAAGTAGAAATAAACGTTCCAAATTGCATCAGAAATTTGCTATGGTTGAAATTGTTATTGAAGGAGAAGGAAGGTAATTGAGTGCCAATTTAACAAATGTGCAGAGGTTGAGAAAACGTATGAAAGTAACATTTGAGCGTGAACACGGTGTATAAACTATTGAAACAAATGCAAAGTAATCATTAAAATACAAAGTATGCAGGGAACAACTAATGAAGAGGGTAAGACCAATAGTAGAATAAGAGACTGGACAAACATTTTCTGTTGTGTTGACAAATTGCCAGCGCCTTTGCTTTACAAAAAGCCTAAACTGACGCCTTTTGAACCACTTGACTTCCCCTTGTAATTGATCTTGAAAGACGAATCTGGTGTAGCTACGTGGCTTGATCTCACCAAGTGTTCGAGGATTGTTCCAGTAATTGTCTTCCATTGTCATTTCACTAACCATCTGCAGACTTGAAGTTAGAAAACAACTCAGCGATTGCATTGCATTCGATAGAAACGGGACACAAAATCGACTTTGATAAGACTAAGGTTTTACAGAAAGGTTTCGGTTCATATAAAGAAAGACTGACTGCAGAAGCCCTACATATATGGGTGAATCCCAACAGTTTGAACAGACGTGAAGGTGTGATCTTAGCTGATGCATGGCAAATACTGACTAATAAATAAATTGGATATGTTTTCAACAACTAGTCACACTTCATCAAATTCCCGATGGTCTACGTCTTCTTATGGAGAGAATATCAAATTTATAAAATTATATTATAACTGTAAAAAATCTCAATTACTTTGTAACTATTCGGTCAAATCTTGATCACAGCTCATATGAGAATAACAAATGTTTGATGACTGTTCACCCACACACATACACACACATACACCATCATATACTGCATTTACACATATCTTTTCACAAAAGTAGACTAATTTTGAAAGTCTGAGGTCAAATTTTGATCACAGTTCATATGAAAAATTTTGTTTTGTTTTGTTTATTATAACTATTGATAGCTGTTTCTTGATTCACATGACCGGACAAACAATTTAAAACAAGAGATGTACTTTTATATATAAACATACTATTTTATTTATTTATTTATTTCTATAGTTTGGTTTGTAAGGATTAGTTATGTTTTACGAGTTGATCACGGACTGATATCAGTTAGAGAAACATTGAAAACCAGGGAGTACTGGACAGCTGCTGTTTCATCCTAGTTTGGGAATCATCGGCAGTACGCACCCACTGGGATTCGAACCCAGGACCTTCCGGTTACAAGGCAAGCTCGTATACCATTCAGCCACTGGGACCCGATTCAATGGCTCATGAATTCTAACTTCTACCAATTCGTGATTTTTAGCGCGACCCCAACTATTGTCGTTGGTGGAAATCCATCCACACGTGACTTCTAATTGGACCTCACTGGTCACGACTTCTCACTAGAACTGCAGGAAGCTCCAACCTGTAGCAAGTCACTAGCGAGCATCAGAATAATTTTCTATAGTTTGGTTTGTAAGGATTAGTTTATACATGTGGATGCCTGTTGCATGACTCATGATTGGACAAAGTTTAAAAACAAGAGTTGTTCCTTTGATATGTAAACCTCTGTTATGTTGATTTCGATTAATTTCCCTGAAGACGTTCGGACCAGATTGCCGAAAGAAACGTTGGAATTGATCATTTCAATTTCGCTGAGATTTCACATATATAATTTTATAAATGTCTACTGCGCACTCAGCGCTCAATTATTTTGGAACTATCCGGTCAAATCTTGATCACAGTTCATATGCATCATGGATAATGTTCAGAGATGCGTTTGGAAAGTGTGCGCTTTGTGTGGCCAATATAACTAACCCTATACCAGCCAGTGAATTTATAAACACACATTGAAGTGGCTCGAAGTGGCAGTTTATCCTTCACACATTCCTTGATCATTCGTTTTCTGTAGGAACTGATTTGTACCTCAGCCGAAAAGAAGGCTTTTCTCAGTAATGTGGATGATCGGGACTTCAGGATCTCAGATTAGGTATCACTTTTAAATTCAACGTCCATGAAAAGCAGTTTGTTCGGCACCTTCTGACTTCATTCATGTTTTCGCCACGCATTAGTGTTTTTCTCGGTCAAAACTTGAAAGATATCCATTTTACTTGATGACCTGTCTGAGTCGCAGAAACCACAGTCTCAAGGGCACTCAACTATGAGTATTCATGTATTTACCATTCCAAAGATTGATACTTGACGAGTTCCACCTCGGATCCGTTTCGATATTCTGTTAGCTCATATCACAATTGAATATTATAAACAATACATTCAGAAACATTTGCAGAAATGTAGACCGTATTCCAAAATATCGACATCACAGATGACAAATGTGACTATTTCCACATCAAAATGACTTACAGAATGTGCAGTTGCTTTCAAAACCTCAGATTTTTAAGTGTGATAGATATTCACTTGGATTACAATGTAAACCAACCTTACTCGTTGTTCAATGACTGTCACTTAACCTGACTCATGTGAATAAGACAGCAAAAGTGCGATAGATGAAAGACAGTAGACTGAAAAGTTCAGTGGAAGTCGGAAGAAGAAAGACTTGTAACACATGTTCTTTGAAGACGTATATGTATATATATATATATATAGTGCAACATTCATCAAGGAGAGATTTTGTAAAAGGACTCAAGTAATATTAGCAGCATGGTTTGAAAATTTTCACAGTATCCTGCTTGCATCAGTATCTCGGGAAATAAATTCCACAGGTCTTCATTCGGACACATGATATAGTGAACACATATTGATGCAAGTATGGAGCATTTGGAGAAAATAAAAATAACCTCCGAAACACCAGGTGCCAAAGTTTGACAGACTAACAGGTCGGTCGGGAGGAAAGCCAATAACAACTAGCATAAATAATCAACAACTGGAAAGCTCAACATATTCAGACAAGATAAGCTGTGTGTGGTATTGCAATTGTGTGTAAACCACAATTGTCAATGTTAGCACGCCATGTGAGCAGCCATGTCAGTTCCACGAATCCTATCACCATTTCTCACAGCCATCTCCTCTGATATTTCTATGCGATTCAATGTGATCACTCACTTATCTACTCTGTTTTAACAACGTGATGCCAATTGTGTAAGAATGAAGTAGACTCAACTTAATCAAAAATGTTTGTTATTTCTGAACATCAACAAAACACACAGGAATGTCACCTAATTAATGAAGAGTTTTCATGCCAAATATTAAATCACGATTTGTACATCTCTGTAAAAAAAGCAACTAAATGGTAAGATATTTCAAGAATTATTCTCGCATATGTAGACTTGTGATCACTGATTACAGATAGTATTTGGCTGGTTGCCTAATTACTAAAACAGCACAGCTATCTATCATCGTACGATTCAATATTCCACGTTCTCATCAACAACATTGTTGTAATTAGCGCTGACAAAATTGCACAATTCACTTTCTCATTCAATAATTTGCATACTGATTTAATTAGAAGTCTACTTTATGTTTATTTTAAACTATCTGGATCAAGAAGAGCAGTCAGTAGTAATTTCAGTAGTCTCAGTAGTCCTAATAATGATTGTCGATATTATGGGGAAAAAGGCCCACAAGGGTATATGTGAATATGAATGCTGGCCTTGTCCCTCTGCTCTTCTCATCGGGAGAGATAGTTGACAAACTCATCGCGAGTTCGATCAGCTCACTCCATATTGAGAAATGCAGTGAAGACATTGTCACGGAGGACAACGAAATCCTCGTCACAAAGTTATACAGTTAAGAGAATACTGTCCTGCAATAATTGTTCGCGAAATGCCTTCTCAACGATCTCCCTTCAATATCCATGCTCACTTTGATATTTCAACTAACTTTGTAATTATTATTATTATTTGAATCAGTATTTCACGCAATCTTTCGTTCTTTGAAATGTACATACAGTCCCTGTATACTTTTCACTTGATTGAGTCTTCGACCATCCACAGAGTTGAGTCTGTACGTCAGTGACCTTAGTTTTGTCTTTTATGAAATTGAAAGCAAGTTAGTTAGTCAGCTTTGTTCTCCTCTCAACGATCTGGATTTCATTATCCTGGCTCAATTTGCCTTTTCAAATAACTTTTTGATTTTCATCTTTAGAAAAAGGAGTATTTCACGCTATCCAGCGTTCTTTGTGAATTCACGATAAGTGAAATGTTGATAATTCCAAAGTATTTATAAGGTCGCTCAACTCTCCTGCCAGATCACGTTGTTTTCATGATTTGTCAATGTGTATACTTGACAGAGCGTCTGCAACTTCATTGTTGTTACTCTTTGCACGCCGCATGTCCTAGGTAAATTGTGATATAAGTTGAAGATGTCGTGGTTGACGACGCGAGTGGTTATCCTGTTTGCCTGACATGGCTTTCGTAAGAGCTTTATGATCGGTTAAGATAGTGAAGTCTGTATCATTCAGCATATGTCTAAAGTGTTTGATGGCCAAATAAACTGCTAGTCACTCTCTACCATGGATGCTATATCGACATTGAGTAGGATTCAGTTGTTTTGAAAAGAAATCAGTATAATTACTTGTTAATGGATCT